GAAATTAATGGCTCATATTGTCTAAAAAGTGACACTGGTACGTCCTTTTACCGAGAAAACTGAGTCAAGAAGGCCCACACAAGGGCAAGAAGTGCATCACTATTGGGACAAAGTCCGTCGATTTCTCTGAGTGTTCCGACAAGCTCATCAAGATAACGTCACCTCACAAGTAACATCGTCGGGCCTGTCAGCTGCCGTATATCAGCAGAGGCACCGCATATATGTAGGCCTATTGTGATCGTTTGTAAGCTGATTGCGTTGTTTAACTATTGATTCTAAAACTCAGGCTTTATAAAGGGCTGCACTTGTAGGCATTTCAGTTCAATAATTTTATTCACGAAGCAGGTTATCAAGACTTATAAAATTGGGTAAAAATTTGCATAACGAAAGTTCATCCGGGATTAAAGCTTCTTGATTAAGTAATTCGGAACACTGTACACGTACAAGTTAGCGTATCATGGATGCAACAGGAATATACTGTATTCGGCGCCACGTGTCTCCTCCCAACTGACTCTCCGGCTATCCTCTCAACAACCTACAGTTTCCGTTCTCTAATTTGACGTAACAAAACAATTCCAGATATTTCAGCTTAATGAAGCAGTGGTAAATGCTTTCCCCAACAACATCAGATACTTCAGAAATTTAAAAGCGAAGAAAACACCACAAAAATTCAGCATATCTCTATTGAAAACGTTTTGGAGACCAGCTTTATCGTCAGTTCAATAAATCTAGGACACAAATAAAGTCAGAAAATTAATAAAGTTCGGAGTAAAAAAACACAGAAGTTAAAAACCTAGATTACAGACTAAGGGCCGAATAATAAAGTAAGTACCTATCTATTCACAATTTCTAATGGAAAAGAACTATAGGCAGCATTCAAACTAGGCTTCTCTTTAAAAATATACAATGATTCCAAAATACGCAGATCGGAAGCACCAGAACTATAAGCCAAAACCTTAGTGTCTGTGTCGGACACTGGAACGTTGCACTGTTCGGAGTGAGCGCGCACAGCCGAATGAGGAGTGCGCGATAGTAACTGCCTAGTTCTATAACTCCTCCCTCTATGCTCAGCGATCCTAGTGTAAAAGTTGCGTGCCGTCATCCCAACGTACGCAGATGCACATCGTGCACAGCTAAATTTCTAAACTAGGGATGATCGCAGTTGAGAAGGGAGGATATCTTTGTACCTAAAAAACGAACCTAATTGAAATTATTCCGGACATTAATTTCCGTATCTTACTTGTGAATAATTTCAAAATAGGTTCGTTTTTTAGGTACAGAGATATCCTTCCTTCTCACATGCGATCCTCCCATCCCGTACGCTGGGATGACGGCACGCAACTTTTACACTAGGGTCGCTGAGCATAGAGGGAGGAGTTATAGGACTGGGCAGTTACTATCGCGCCCTCCTCATTCGGCTGTGCGCACTCACGCCGAACAGTGCAACGTTCCAGTGTCCGACACTGACTTTAAGGTTTTAGCTTATAGTTCTGGTACTTACGATCTGCGTATTTTGGAATCATTGTATATTTTTAAAGAGAAGCCTAGTTTGAATGCTGCCTATAGTTCTTTTCCAGTAGGAATTGTGAATGGATAGGTACTTACTTTATTATTCGGCCCTTTGTCTGTAAATTTAGGTTTTTAACTTCTGTGGTTTTCACTCCGAACTTTATTAATTTTCTGACTTTATTGGTGTTCTAGATTTATCGAACTGACGATGGAGGTGGTCTCCGAAACGTTTTCAATAGAGATATGCTGAATTTTTGTGGTGTTTTCTTCGCTTTTAAATTTCTGATGAATCTGCGATTATAGCAATCTAGTGACATTATTACATCAGATACTTGCATAGCAGACGCAAGTTAGACATGCCAGTCAGTAAATTCAATCTTGAAATAAAGGATGGTAAATAAATTTCTTCGTGTTTAACTCCACCAAAGAAGTCCACTAATAACAGCAATGTAAATTGTTTATGATAACATTTTTTATCAGCGTTTATAGCCAACTCGATTTTGGAATTAAAAATGTAAACACGAAATTGTTTATGTAATTTTTCAAGGAAGTGCACGGAGAGGAATCAGCGCTCATAGCGCCAGCATGAATGTGCGCCTTCGGTGACTTTCATGACTAAAATATTTATTTCCTGTTTGTACGAATACTGGAAGGATGAGGGGAAACCTCTCTTTTGTAACTAATTGAAAATATGAATTAGCGGGAAGATTCATGATGATGTCTGGAACCGGTGATTGATCAGCTTCCCATACAACCATTTTGTCACGCGTTATCAATGATGGTTTCTCTATTTTTAATTCCAATCTAAATTTTATGGGATGAAAAATTAGTGTTATTGTAGATAAACGAGTACAGGAAATTTGCCTTGTAGACAGTACAAGTTTCAGTAGTTTATATGAGATTTACATCCATGAAGCACCACGTTTCAATGTTGAAGTGCAGGTTTCAAGCAACATAGAAGTTTATTTAAGCGTCTTCATCTCTCACCTATTTTAGGATTAAGGAAGGCTACACTAGACTTTATTTGTGCAGTATCATCATAACTTCTAGGTTAATTCGAATGAAACGAGTTGTTTTTCATTGGAGGAAAGAAGTTATGTCGACAAAACAAGCGTATTAGACCAACAGATGCTGGATTACTGTCAGTCAGGTTTGTGTGAACTGTACTTTTTTTATTGAAAATCATTCACTAATAGTTACACGAAACTTTTAAACTCTTCACAAGATGGCAAGTGCGACGATAGAGTGCGACGTTTGTAACGAGAAATTCGACTCGGGCAACCACAAGCCACTTTGCCTCGCATGCGGCCACACGTTTTGCTTCTCTTGCATTACACGGTTATGCAATGTTCGCGAAACCAAAAATTGTCCGAAATGCAGGGAACCAATTTCCCAAGATGCTGATCAATTGCCAGTTATCTTCGCATTGATTCCGACAATGAGAAATCACTTCCAAGTGCGGTGGGTTCACCTACTGAAGCTCTGTGCCCCCTGCACCAGAAGGCGCTGGTTAATGGCGCAGGGACCCCGAAAGAATTTCGAAGAAACACTTAGATTCAGATCCGCATTCAGATTTTGATTTTGACTTTACGTCCTTGTCCTCGCCGTATTGGTACCTACGTGAAATCGACACTTTTAGACCCACTTTCGTACTTCCAGCCCTGCTACGAAGATGAAATTTTGGCCCATAATAGAGCCTGATTTTAGACTGACGAATCAGAAGTCGGATCCCCAAAATTCCCCATGGGGAAGACACAAATCCCCAAAAACGACTAATTTTTTCAAAAATTCATCAAAAATCAGCCGTTGCTTGCACGCGCCTCTATCTTGGCTCCTTTTCTTTTCATTGGTTAGGGCAAGTTTCCGGAAATTCCTGGCCAGATCCGCTCAAAAAAACGCCCCCCAGGGGGGGAAAAGCGAAAAAATTATCAAAAATTTGACAATTTTTTAAAAATCGGAAAATTTTTTTTGGACGTTGCCCTTTGAGGGAGCGATAGAAAATAGTGAAATCTTTCACAGAAAAAATTGAAAAAATTCTGGATTTTTTTTCCGCCGAGAAAAAGCCGTTTTAAATTTTTGACAGTTTTCTGTGGAGGCCAAACGGTTGAAGCTAGAAAGGAAATTTTTACGTCAAATTATCTCAAAATGAAAGTTAATTAGGGTTTATATCGGACAATTTCTCAATAAACTGCTTGGCTCGCGAGATATTCGAAAAAATCGATTTTTTGACTTTTTGGCAAAAATTCAAGGCGAAATAACTCGAAATCCGTGCATCTCACAGGAACGTTTATTTCGATAAAAAATCATCCCCAGACTTGTTTTATGATATGCCGTTGAAAAAATTTCAAAATTCGAAAAAAAAATTTTTTCGCGATTTTTGCCGGATTTTTTCAAAGTTTTTCCCACCCCCGGGGTGGGGAAAATTTCAAACGAGTTATTCTCAGCCGGGATTAAAGCCACAGGCGCCAAACTTGGCACACATGTTGGGCATGATTACAGGTATTCCATAAACTTTTTTGGGCTATCCAGGGTCGTTTTTGTGGCGACAACGCATTAAAATCTAATTTTCTACAAATGAGTTTTTTGTGAGAACTGCGCAGTCGATCGTCACCAATTTTGACACGCATATAGGCACCATTGGCGTGTCTTATGTATACGTTTTTGAGGGGGTCTTCATTATTAATTTTTTCGAGAAAAAAATTCAAAACCGAAATTTTTGAAAAAAAAAAATTCTCAGTCAGGAAAAAAGCCACACGTTTCAAACTCGGTACACATGTCGACCATAATGAGAAGTAAGTCCCTATAAATTTCCAGCCCTCTAGCATCAATTTTACGACTATAAAAAAAAATAAAAAACCCTCCCCCTCCCCACCCAATTACTCGGCGACAAAGCAATGAATTGACTCGAAACTTCGCACATGTCTAGGGCATGACTTCCTGTACATGCGGTGAAATTTTCATTTGGTCATCGCTTAGTATTTTTTTCCACAAAATCGAAATATTCGTAAAGTTTTGTCGTGGAACCGACGTCCGCTCCTTCGCGGAGTTCCGTCACCTTGAACACTATTAAAGTTCAAAATCTATCAGTTACCTTCATTAAAATCATTTACTTCTACCAGGATTGTTGAACCGTATAGCGCTCCCGTAGAAAAATTGATTAGATATGAATTGTGACTGTGAGTATTGGAATTCTTTACAGGAGTTGTTTTGGTGGAAGTGTGCTATTTTAATGATGGCTTTTTGAAATTGATTGTTTTTAGAAGTGATAAGATATAGAACTGTGAGTATATATTGTATATGCCTTAATGATGGAGTTGTTTGTGGTGAGTGAATCGGTTATGATGTGAAAAGAGTGCGCTGGTGATTGAATTGACTAGGTGTGTTATTGATGTGATTTATATTATTATATTGAGCTGTTTGTATGCAGGTAATGTTGAAATTATATGTGTGAAAAGGGACTGTTGCGGCATGATTGTCCCTGATGTGCTGGATTACCTCTGCGTGGACTGCAGTGAATCCGTGTGCTTCACCTGCAGCAGGGGCACACATGCCACGCACAAAGTAGAGATGACAGACGACCTGCTTCAGGATAACGAGAACGTTGATGGCGTCTGGGCGAAAATACGGTCCACGTTGCAGAAAAAACTCGATAGCGTTAGTTCGGTCGTCACGTTATCTGATGGTTTATCGGGCTTTATTGATGACATCATCAAACTGAAGCCTGATTTTGATGGCTGGAGGGATCTGCTGTTGGCCCAGAAAGTGTCCACTGAGCAGGACCTCAAGGCTTGGAATGCCTCGGTCACCAGACTGGATGGCATCAAGAGACTCGATTGCAAGGAAATTCTCTGCCGTCTGAAATTGAACTTTGGAGAAAATGGAAAGCTACCTGAAATCAAGGCATTACTGGATGCTGCCGCTAAAACAAGTGTTTCGTTAGAAGTGAGTGAAATATTTGCTATAATACAGGGATATTTACGATGATAATCATGGGATCATACATGTGATTGTATTGAAGGCATATAATTGCCCTGATAGCTCAAAATTTAAATGCCAATGCTTCTTTGATATCTATTTTGACGAATAAGCTTATTTTAAAGAGTGCCTCCAATCGCGTATTGTTCGTAGCGTTTCACTGAGAAAAAGCCGAATTATTTTGTTCGAGTTTTAATTTTTAGCGTGACGCATGAAATATTGTTCGATCGCGTATTCAGCCTATCTCATATAACGCCGCGGTGAGGGCAATTTTTTTCCAACAGAAGGTCAAACATATAATTTGGTTGGCATTGATGAACTTGTGAATTATCAAATCAAATTATCAGAGGAAGCCCAATCCTTAGTTTGTTCATCTACGAAAATAATATTAATAATATTTTGTCTACAAACGGATATTTATCGTAATAATTAGACGTTTCTTGTTTCCTACCTTTGGGAAGTTTCTGTCTGGTAATAAAGTTACTAATATCTTTGTAATGGCCTTTCTGTAATATCTTGTAATGGCCTTCGGAGTAAAAATATATGAATTCCGGTATTTACCTTGTATCGAAAATAACGCTTCCATTCTAGCTATCAAACCACATATAAGTATATTGATCGACATCTTAATGATAACCATACTTATAATATTGGCCTGGTCAATAATGGTCAAGTTGTGTAATAATGAGTCAAGGGTTAGCAAAACTTCAATGACTTGAAATAATTTTCAGGTATAAAAGAACAATAAAAACTCCTATTACTAGAAATATGAATGTTATGTCTCTAAATTCTGAAAAATAATCTGATTGGAATATTCCCTGCCCTACAGTTAAAGACGTGTGATGTCATGCCGATTGGCAAACCTTGGATCATCTCCAGCAGTGATGAAGGAGAACGAGCCCTTGCAAGCCTGGCCAACAACATCAAGCCCAGTCGCCTCGTGGTGCTGTCCACCCACACCCGCCCCATCCCGGGGCTGGGGGAGCTGCTGTCCAGCCTCGCCGCCCACCACACCGGCGACATCAGCCTGCTGCCCCTGGACTTCTTCTGGAGGCCGGCAGGAGAGGCGGAGGGAGGCATGGGAACTATCGTTCATAATTTACGGTGGGTCTGTACTCTCATAAATTATCGCATTGTTTGAGAGCCTAAAAAATTTTGGTATGGCGTGTTTTCTCCCAAGTTCCTGCATTGTTTTGGCCCCCGAATACAGTTCACAATTCGTGCTGCTTGCAGCACTTCAGCCTTGTCCGTGACGGATGCCAACAAATAATCTGCTAGAAAATTTAGTATATTCCTATTCCATGTTCCTACTAAAGTCAAACTGTAAATAAATTTGCAAACAATAAATATCACAAGCGTGAAAAATTTTCTAAGTCAGAAAGTACCGAAATGCTTGAAAAAATCAACTTCAAAGAAATTTCTCACATACTTCTCATGAAGTCTCCTCAAATTTTGATAATCCTTTACCATGAAGAAATCTCATTGTTTTTCAATGTTATGTCTTTATATTCTATATGTTTATGTTTTATATTCATTTCATGTCAGTGGACGGCTGACTGCCTTGTACTGCTCCCCCTACATAGTCCAACTGGATCTTTACCACTCCACCATCAAGAAATACAACATTCATCTCGACTGCCCATCCGATGTACTGTGGTTTGCTAAATTGCCTAGACGTACTATCAGTGAGTAATTCATTGTTTTTATGTATATTCATTCATATATTAGTATAGGCTGGCAGAATTTCTTCTCTTAAGCAATCTTCTTCTCTTAATCTTTCTTCTCTAATTCTAATTTCTATTTCTTCTATTCTAATTTCTAATTCTAATTTCTAATTCTAATCTTTCTTCTCTTAAGCAATAGAAATCATTCATATATCCATATTCTTTTCTCATAATTTTATAGCCTCTCAAACGACTGTATTTTTGAAGCCGAATGGAATTTTTTCAATCATTGTCATCTTAAACAAACATGGCAATATTAGATGTTAAAATAATCGAAAGCGTTCGAGGAGGAAAAAATTATACACGCATTTATTTTTATTCTATACTTATTTTTCTATACTTATTCTTGAAACTGATAGGAAGTGTATAAGAACTTTTCTTGTTAGTTAAGAGTTAACATTCCCAGATTTAGAAAAATAATTCAAGTTGAATTCAAACGGAAATAGCGAGCTATTTAGCAATTGAAAGAACTGGTATCAAGACGCAAATGACGAGACTTTTAAAGACGTGATTACTAATTTGATTGCTAAATAATAGCGTACAATTTTAATGTTTATACTGTTCGGTCAACAGCAAATGTATGCTGCGCCAAGGGCGTCCCGAACAACGTTGGCACTACCTTAAAGGATAGCGGTGTTGAGGTCACCCGCTGGCACTTTCCCGACCTCAAAGATCAGGACGTGGACTGGTTGTCATACATCCTGTCATCATATTCCGACAACCGCCATCAAAGGTATGTGTTTTACAGTACGATTAGCACATGTACTACAATATATGTACATGAGTTGCATACTAACCCATTCGATGCCATGTGGCACACATCTTATTCTCCTACCCCGTAACTGCCATGAAGGGTATGTGTCGTGCAGTTCGATCTTAATATCTCCATGAGTTACATTATAACCATACCGCTGGCAAGGGATAAGGTCATTATTATTATTTTCTCGCAATTCGAAACCAAACAAAATTGAACCGGAATCTTGAATGTTACTGATTGTCAACCGTATTCCGCCGCGAGACAGTGTCGAACACCAAAAAATGCAAGCAAACTAAAATGTGTTGTAATATTTTGTTATTGTAATGCCTATACTAACTTGAGCTGAAATACACGTATCGATGCTCCTAAGGTGCTCTGAAGTACACGACTCAATGCAAAATTGATTTCATCAAGACTCGATAGAATTGAATGCATAAAAACTCAGTATAAAGTTTAATTCGCCTGATGCAGAGCTGCCCGTATCACCCAGCGTATATAGAATGCTGGCTCGTATTTGACAGTCCCTTTAATTACGACGTTATCGGGCGAAGCTGCAGGAGGGAAAAGTTCAGCGAATACTCATGATGGGAAGAACATTTTCGTCACATACCAACCGCATTTTTTGTATCCTTGAAATATGATGTTCACCCTCTGACCTTTACGAACCTAAGCTTAAGTAAGTATATGATTCATACTAACCGGTTACTTTTTATTAACGTTGCATCGAAATAGCACTAGTCACAAGCTGACAAAACATGTAAATATGTTACCATTTCTAATCTTTCTTTGCCGCATTGATCTAATATGTAAAGTAGGCGACTGGTTCATTTTATCCAATATTATTTAAACTTCATTTTTGACGATTCATTCGTACATAATATTGTGCAAAACAAAATTACGAATGAGTTTTCCTTGCAATTCGAAATAAATATTGTTCTGTTATTTGTTATATACCATTCCAGTGTGGAGCTTGTCCTGCCAAGGGATCATCTCTCTGCCGTAGGCGCTCGTCAGCTGTTTCAGAAGATACCAAATATTCGGGTGTTGTACCACGAGCCTAACGCCTCGCAACTCACGGCAACTTGTAGGGATGTTCACGCTGCTGCGGATTGCATCGAGTTGTCAACCACCAACATTCTTCAATGGATATAATACCTTCATCAGAAGTTTGGGTCAGACTAGAAGACATAATCAACCACAACTGGAAATTTTCATTTTATATTTAGATTTTAATTCACATGAGGTTTCTAAGATAATAAATATCCTTTGAGAGCGAATAGTTCTCATAGGATATATAGTTACGGCGTAGAGGCCTTCATTAATAAGCATTTGTATTTTCACAGCATTAGTTCCGGCAGATAATTAGTAAGCTTTTTTCTGAACAAATTGCATGCAGATTCATGCAATCATTTTTTACATTTTTCATAGCATTTGTTTTAAACATTGAGCAGAACCTGTGTTTGTGCATCTTTGATATTCCTCCATAGCGATCCCTGGTCATGAGTGAGACGCCGCTTCAGAGGATGTCAGGCAATGACACACCAGGCATTTCATTGCATGTAAACCCGAAAATCATTACCCGGCTGCTTTTTAAAATAGATTCTTTTCGAATTAGATGAATTGATACTAAAGTTTTAAGATTCGAGCGGATGAAACCGAACCACGGTGAAAATTCCCCACCACAGTTTATCAGTTTGAAAACAGTATAATTTCCCTGCACACTGAAACATTCCATGGCATTATCGAGGAGCAACTGAATGAGCAGCCTTAGCGTTGTCGGCTGACAGCACGAAATAAAGTGATTATAGTTTAGATTCTTGGGTCGCACTATTACACAATTTGCGATGCGGTCGCTCAATTGAACCCATTTTCTCACACCTCGCTGGTCGATTTATGGCAAGTAGGAAGAAGATGAAAATTTTCAATTCCACTCCACAATCAATTTATGATTCATTTTCCTAGCGGTTTTAATGCTCAGATAATGAGCACAAAACTCGCCACAGCAACACGTAATTGCTTTCTGCTCAACAAAGTGCTTGGCTAAGCTAAAATTAGGCAACCATCTACGGACGGCAGCTGCTTTCTGGGCAGAAAAATTAACTCATGCGAGATAGAAATTATATTAAGAAATATTTTAAAAATTCCACATTCCTGTTGTAAAGCTACTGAAAATATTTCGGGCGCAGAAAATATTTTGAGGGGTTACAGCGAAAAATCTAAATGACAGTCTTTTTCACTCATATCCCGGAACACAACGAAGACCCAAGCAATAACCTGTTATTGCAGGAACCGGAACTATTGTATATGTACTATTTGAACGTATCTTTCAAGTTTAAACTCGTCCCTCATTGCTCGCCCGTAGCGATCCACGCATTCGAGGGCCCCCACTCCTCCGACTGCCTCCAATCATTTGACGGCTCTCACTTCACCGACTACCTCCAATCATTTGACGGCTCTCACTCCTCCGCCTGCTTAAAA